TGTAGGGCTATTCAAGCCCCAATTATTCAAATCCCTCCTGTTCAAGGCCAGGAATATATCGGGACTAAAGACTCAGAACCCCTCTGATCCCTCTCCTCTTGTCTCGGAAGGTCCAGAGGACTCCATTTTCAAACAGCCTGTAGTGGAAGCCGAGGTTATCCCAACTCCTCCCATCTTCCTTGACCTGGTGTCTAAGCAGTTGGCCTCTTCGGCGCCCCTCCCCCGCCCCTTCGGCCCACGATAAAAAGTTTTTCAATCTAGATCCAGAACTTTCCAATTTATTAGGCACTCCGGAGGTTGATGAGCCCATCGTAGGTCTGGCCTCTTCCTCCACCCTCAGCGACCCCTTAGAGGCCTTGAGACCGGAGGAGAAACGGGCCAAGCTGGCCTTGCGCTGAGCTCACCAGTCAGATGCTTGGGCAATCAGATCAGCCACGGCCGCCTCCTTCTTTATCAGGTCATCCATTCGCTGGCTTCGCCAGCTTAAGCAGCATGTCCCAGCCTCCAATGTCCGAGCTCATCAGGACATAGCCAAGATTACGGCCGCAGCCGAGTTCTCGGCCAACGCTACCTTCCACTCTGTCAAATTTTCCACCCGTGCTATTTCCTCCCATGTCTCTGCCCGCCGTCTGCTCTGGCTAAAGCCCTGGCAGGCAGATCTCAAGAATAAAGTAAAATTGGCTTCCGCTCCCCTCGTGGGAAATAAATTATTTGGACCATCCTTGGATCCCCTTTTAGTCGAAGGGAGGAATAAGAAAAAATTCCTTCCATCCCTCACCCGGAAGCCAGAGCCCAGATCCCTGCAGCCCTTTCAGAGAGCTCCCTTTCGTCCCTTTTTCCAGGCCTCCTTCTCTCCCGGGTACCAAAGGCACCCTCCCTTTGGGTCGGGCCAGCCACAGGACAGGACCGACTCCTCTGATAGAAGCAGAAGGGGCGGTAGCTTCAAAAGACCCTTTCATGGCTCTGGCAGCAGGCCCTTCAGGCGCTCCAGATAGGCCACCTGATCTAATTCCCATTGGCGGGCGTCTTAAGACCTTCGCCAACCAGTGGGACGCCTCCACTTCTGACGCCTGGGTTAGGGACACCATCAGGTTTGGCCTTGTCCTCGAATTTCAATCTACCCCCCATGGGTTCCTTATCAATTGGAAGAAAAGCCAATTATCCCCTTCCACCAGGATAACCCACCTGGGGACGGTAATCGACACTGTGAAAGGGAAGGTGTTCCTATCTCCGGAGAGAATCCTCAGCATCCAAAAATCTGTCAGAAGCATCAGATGCCTTAAGAGGGTTTTCCTTCTAGAACTATCTCAATTACTGGGTAAAATGATATCTTGTCTTTCCATTATTCCCTGGGCCCGTTTACACTCCAGATCCCTCCAGTGGTTCCTGCTCCCGTACCAAAGAACCGGATCAAGCAATTCAAAACGCAAGGTCAGGGTTCCACCAAGGGTGCTCACGTCCCTCCTTTGGTGGAGCAAATTGTCCATCAACAAGGGCTGCCTCCTCAAGGAGCCCCCAAGACTCACCGTCACCACAGACGCCAGTCTGTCCGGATGGGGCGCTCACCTTCAGTGCCTTACAGCACAGGGCAGATGGTCAGCGACAGAGAAACTGTGCAACATAAACTGGTTGGAGCTTCACGCCGTCCACCTGGCCCTCCGCAGCTTCCTTCCCCAGGTACGCGGCCACCACATTCTCATCCTGACAACATCACGGCCAAAGCACACATCAACAAACGGGGGGCACTCAATCATCACGCTTAATGAGGGAGGCCGAGCGTCTCTGTCGGTGGGCGGAGTCTCACCTCCTTTCCCTCAGGGCAGATCACATCTCGGGTATCTCCAACACCCAAGCAGACTGGTTGAGCAGGGCCACCATAGACCAGTCGGAGTGGCGTCTCCACCCATCACTGTTCAGGGAGGCGGCATCCATTTTTGGTCCACCAGTAGTGGACCTCTTCGCCTCCCCGCTCAATACCCAACTTCCAAGGTTTGTTTCAAGATTCCCATCCCCAGGGGCGGAGAACCACAACGCCCTACTGTGTCCGTGGCCCACGGGTCTTCTTTATGCATTCCCTCCTCTGGCGCTGGTGCCCATAGTCCTTCAGAAGGTACTTCACGAGAAGGCGGAACTGCTTCTTGTAGCACCTTATTGGCCCCGTTGCCCTTGGTTTGCGGACCTCCGCAGCCTATCAGTGGCCCCTCCCTGGAGAATCCCAGCAGACAGAATGTCCCTGTCTCAAGGTCCCCTTCTCCACCCGGACCCCCAATGGCTCCAACTAGCCGTCTGGAGGTTGAGCGGGAACGTTTGAAGAGGGAAAACCTCTCTAACAGGGTCATTGATACCATTCTAGCAGCCAGGCGACCCTCAACTACAAGAATCTACGATGCCACCTGGACCATTTTCCGTAAATGGTGTGTCAAGCTTCTTATCGACCAAGCTGCCCCTTCCATTGCCCAAGTACTTGACTTTCTCCAGGAGGGTCTCAGCAGGGGGCTGTCCCCCAATACATTAAGACGTCAGGTAGCAGCCTTATCTACAGTCATCTCCTGTAAAGAAGCCAGTTCCCTTTCTCACCATCCCTGTATTCGGGCCTTTCTGAAAGGGGCCACAAATTTACATCCTCCGTCCCTCCACCGGTACCCAACCTGGGACCTCAACATGGTCCTTACCTCCCTCACAAAACCACCCTTTGAACCCTTAAGAGAGGTTTCTCTTCAGTTTCTATCATACAAGGTAGTTTTCCTCGTAGTGATCACATCAGCCCGTAGGATATCAGAGATCGTTGCGCTGTCCATTAGGAAAGACCTTTGTGTATTCCATCCCGACTGAGTGGTCCTCCGGCTTGACCCTTCCTTCTTGCCCAAGATCAATTCGGTTTTCCACAGGGCTCAGGAACTTATCCTCCCTAATTTTTGCCCCAGGCCAACTCAGGAAAGGGAGAGACTATGACACACTCTGGACGTCAGACGTGCCTTACGGATTTACATTAAACGCACTGAGACCTTTCGTAAGTCCGAGGCCTTGTTTATATCCTTCCAACCTAAATCACAAGGGCTCAAGGTTCCTCCAACCACCATAGGCCGTTGGATAAGGGCGGCCATTGCCAAAGCATACCAGGCTCAGGCCCTTCAGGTGCCCAGGGGTATCACGGCTCACTCCACTAGGAGTGCGGCAACTTCAGCTGCCTGGGCTACCCAGGCTCCAATAATCGACATTTGCCGGGCAGCGACGTGGGCCTCCCCGTCACCCTTCATTAGACATTACAAGATTGACAGGTATGCCTCAGCCGAGGCTTCTTTCGGTAGAAGGGTTCTTCAGAGGGTTCTTAGGGAACCCGAGGGGACTACAGACCAGACGGCACCCCTCCCGTAGGACAGGCCCAGCTTTGGTATGTCCCACTTCTAGATGCTCCGAGCAGCTCTAAGGAGAATGGGCGTTGGTTCTTACCTGACACGCCATTTCTCTTCGAGCTGCGAGGAGCATCCAGCCCCTCCCTTATCTTTCACCGTCTGGTGGGGTCTTGTTTCGGCCAATGAACCCTTAAGTCTAGTAAGATGAGAGCACAAATTTCTGTTTCCTCTCGTCTTCGCATAAACTGGGGAACGCTGTGATGGAGCCACGTGATGGAAGGAGGAGCGTTCCTCAATAATTAAGCTCAGCCTACAACAGCAGAGACTGAAGCACCACCCACTTCTGGATGCTCCTCGCAGCTCGAAGAGAAATGGCATGTCAGGTAAGAACCAACGCCCATTTCCAGAGCAGTATTTCTACTCCAATTTGATTACAACCTGTGATTCCTTCACTGAAACACATAAAACAGGTAGGGAACATCATGAATCAATCAATGCTCATAGATAAAAGGTGGGATATACAATCACTCCTCAGCAACTACCTTGGTTAGTGACAGTTTGCATATGCAACAGTAGTAAATGGTAATAAAAATTCATTTTCTGACCAAATGTACACACTTGGACCAAACTTCTTGTGCCGAAGAACAATGCACGCTGGATTGAAAGTAACACTACCCTAGTTGCATGAAATCTCATCTGACTGAGAAGGCAGCAACCAGTAATATTCACAGCATCTATGTCTCTCTAATGCACACCTGTTTAGAAACTATTTCGTTTAACAACAAAGTTGCTGGAACAATGCTCTTGCTAAACAAGGAGATGGGGTAAAATGCAGCATTATATAAATCAGGGGTCCTCAACCACCGGGCCGCGGACCGCTACCGGTCCGTGGAGCACTCTGTACCGGGCCGTAAATAAAAAAAAATAAAAAAAATGGCGGCTTTCTTCGCCTTCGGTGAATGCTGCTGGGATCGGGGATCAAGGACACAAATGAAAGAAGGGGAGGGAGGAAGCAACCGAAGCCTGTCCTGCTCTCTGGCTCAGCAGCTTCGGTTTCCTCCCGCCTTGTTCCTCTCTCAGTCGCTCTCTCGCTGCTCCACCAGCCCAGGAAGAAACTGCTTCAAAGAAGCCAGGGGGGGGTGTGGCTTTTCCTGTCGCCGCAGCTCCTCCGAAGCGCCCGTTTACCCCCACCCCGCCCGCCCGCCCACGCTTCAATTCAGTGCTCCGTTCTGCCTGCCTGCCTGTCTGGTTGGTTGGGAGCAGCTTCGGCTGAGAATAATAACTATTCGCCTCTTTTTATCAGCCGAAGCTGCTCCGAAACGAAGGCAGGCAGGCAGTCAGGCAGAATGGAGCACTGGGTTGAAC